ATCCATTGTATATAAGGGATGAAAAACGGTAGCTATTGCTAAAAATACAAGTGATAGGAAATTAACTACAGTGAAAATGATCTGACCTAAATTCAGTGAACATTTCTACGGCTAGCAGAGGGCATTTGATAAGAGAAGGTCAACAACGATTCAATGCAAATTATGTCAGTTTTCCTATTATTTATTATATTTTAGTGAAAAGGACATGTTACTACCAGATAAGCAATAAATACATGCTATCTGAAAATAACAACAAATTGTAATAAAAAAAAATCAGCAGAAAGGCTGATTTTGCATGGATTAATCTTGATCTTGCATGGATGAATTGTATATGGAATTCAAATGTAGGCACTGAAGTTTATTTTTATTTTTAAAATATATGTCATCCTGCTCTTTCAGAAAAATAGCTTTTATTATAGTTATGCAAATAATTGATTCAGTAATCAGTTAGAAGTAGATGCAAAAAGTTAAATTGGATAAAAGATTGGGTAAATTTAAAGATAAAATAATCTTAATGTTAGAAGGTCATAACCTCCAGATAGGCTGGCATGCATTTTTATGGGGAAAAAAGGAGCAAGGTACATTCTTACTTCTATAGACATCAAAATAAGAGATTCACTTATTCACTTATTCAATATTATGCAATATGGGATAAATGGTATGAGCGGCTAAAAAACAGATATAAAGATTAGGAAGAAAGATTATGGTAAATAAAGCAAGAGATGTTAAAAGATTATCAATGTAGATATGTATATAATAATGTATATAAGATATATGTATTTGTCGAAGCCAAAAATGTTGTCACAAATATAAGTGAGATTTGTATTTTTATTTTTTTTTTGTAAATTTTATTTGAGTTTTCACAAAGAGAAAAAAAATACAAATAAAACATCATTTTTGAAAGTAGCCTAATCCCGGGTTACATTTCTTCGTACAGACACAAATTCAGGTTCATGCTCATTTTTATATTCTATTCCATATCTTATTACTATTTTACATTTTCTGCATAGCTCCTCCCCTCTTTTAATTTTCTCAATTTTATTTTAATTATCTCATCTCAATTCAAATCATTGTATTTATACTTTTTGTCTGTCCTGTTTCAATTACCTATTATCTTTTCTCATTAAACAAAATTTCTCCTGTAGTTACTGATTGGAGTATGACGCCTTTATATCTTTTCCCTAAAGTTGTAACATTCAATATAATACATAACTTCCATTCGGATTCTGTTTGGTACATTCTTAAAATACACATTGTATTCTTTAAAAAAAATTATAAATGTATATAATTAAAACAACATTTCATTCCAGTTCAATTCTATCATTAATATTAATATTCATTAAATTCTTAACATCTTTAACATTACTTTTCAATTAAATATCATACTTCTATGGGAACAATTATAAGCTTTCCATAGTTAATTCCGCCCCTTCACTTATATTTTATAAAACATTAATTAAAATGTTCCCGTTCCTTCCTAATTCAATTTTCTCATTTATTTTATTTCACTTATTTTATTCACAAACATTTCACTAAGTTACACTATTTTATCCCTCATTTTAATCATACATTGTTTCCAATTTTCTAAAGTTATTTCTATTACTGATATAACAATACAATCTTATGTACCTTTACAGAATCCCTTTTTCAGTTAGATTTTCACCCATTATCTCTAAATAGGTCCTGTTTCTCTATATCTTGCTCCGGTCCTTTGTAACTTCTTTTCCTTTCCTTCTTCCCTCTCTTCTTCTCTCTCCCCTTTTTACCCCCTTGTCTCTCTACCCCTATTTCTCTCCTCTGTATTCCCCTTTTCTGTTGCTTTCCAGTATACTTATTTTTCAAATTATTTTTCTTTTCTTTGGTTGTTTTTTTAAGTCTTAAATTCTCCATTCTCTTTCCCCCCCTTTCCTTTTTCTTCCCCACATAAAATTACTTGTTCATTAAAGATGGCTTCTTCTTTGTCCCTGTCTTCTTGTTTTGCAATCGTTTCTTGTTGTTTCTTGTTGTTTCTCATAGTTCCAAATCTCCATTTCTAAGAATTGAAAAATGAAGCCAAAAGAACCCTTCCCTTCTTGTGCATCTTCTTTGTACTTTTTAAGTTCCATTTTCAATTCATCCAGAAGTGGTGCCATTGTACAAATTTTTAAACAACCACCCAATTGATTTTAGTCATTCAAATATAATAACCAAGAGTCCAAAGTTCACCAAATAATCCAAATACATGAAAGCTGTTTCTTTTTTGCTCTTTTTTTCACTTTCTCTTCCTGGGGTTACTATTTAGTCACAAAGTTTCAGTTAAAATGTATCTTTTTAGAAGTCTTGTTGAAGTTTTACTGTAGATTCTTTTTAATTCCAGGCAGTCTCCTCCCTCTTCCAGATCCTGCCCTTATTCTTTTTCTCTCCCTTCCTGCTTATGAAAAAGAAAAATTTTAATGTCCAGAAATCTTTATTATCCCTTTGGCATTTTGTTTTATTGTCAGCTTAATTGCCTATTGATGTCAAAGCGGATTTTTCCAATTTCTTATTTAAGTCTCTTAGTTGTCAGTATAGGGAAGGAGAGAGAAGAAAAAAAAAAGCCAAACCTTTCCCTTTTCACTTTCCTTCGCTGCTTCCGACTCTTCTTTGGGAGCGATGTTATTTTTTGTAAGTTTAAATTCCAGGGTACCTTAGTTGTTGCTTTTACAATTTAACCCGGTCAGCCAAAACTTTCACTTCTTATCTTCCTCCTGCACATTCTTTTCCGGTCGAGTTCTTTGTGGTGGCCATTTCTGACCACCGCTGCAACCGCCTTCGGGAAAGGGAGTAATGGCCAGCTGAGGAGGAGAGATGCGGCTCTCCTCAACCCTGCTGGCGGTCTCCCCCCTCTTCACCACCTCTACGGGGTGGCTTAGCCCCGAAACCAGCCAGCTTGAGGCATTCCAGCGGCGAGTCCAGACAGAAACCGTGCACGATCTCAGATTTCTGTCTGTCACCGAAGCCCTTCAAACCGGAAGTCAGTGAGATTTGTATTTTTGAAAACTGTAATAAAAACAAATTTTAAAAAGAGAAGTAGATGCAAAAAGTAATATAAGTTGAATCCTTCTTCTGTGGAAAAATGAGGCCAGACATTGAGTGGTAAGGAAGTGATGCCTCTGCTTTACTTTCATCTCATATGAAGTAATCTCCACCTTGCAAACACATTTTCTGCCTAGTAACTAGTATCCAAATTAGTGTAAAGCAAAATATATTCAACTAATGATTAGCAAGATAGATTGTTCTTTCTATCTAGGATGCATAGTCTACAGGAGCTGTGGGAGTTATAAAAACAGTCTTACAAAGATACCAAACTTCCTTAAGAATTTTATATGACTTCGTTGTACAAATGCTGTATATACTCACATCCATCTATTAGAAAGAGTATCTCATTAAGGTTATACAATCTCAGAAATATCTTTGCATTAATTGGCATCTTTTTATTAATTGTAGTTTGCATTAAAGAATGACAAGTAGAAAAACACTGAAATAATTTCTGAAGAATGTACAAAAAAGAAGGCTCAGTTGCCAATCACAGATTCACTAAACAGTAAATAATGATACATAATTTATTTAGTGGAATTATTTTGAAGCGAACTCTGAACTTTTAAGCAATTCTCCTGTAAAGAGTCAGTTTAGTATAGCAACATAGTTCTTTTAATAACTTTCTAAGTGAATTATTTAAGCAGTAGTTTTAAACTTCAATTTCTCTATGCCATGATTCTGTGGCATGATTTTGAAAAGTGAATGTAGGCTTCTAAATGTTCAGCAGAATATTAGCTCACTTTAATCATACATCAAAACTTCAGCTTTGGATTAGCAAGAGGCTTATTCACTCACTATATCTTGCTGCTTTATATTTCCAGAAAAAATATGATTAGAAAAAGTATGGGTTTCTTAATTTTCACAGCAATAAACTACAGTGTATAAAGAAGCAACACATTTCATGTTTCAATAAACATGTTAATTAAGCTTTATGTCTTTAGATGTGGACATTTCTTTGCAGGTAAGATGAACAGATATGTACAGTGATACATTCGGTGAATTTTGCACGTATTTTAGTCAGGCATTTTCAGACAACTGTAAAATTATAAGCTGCGCCCAACCTTATTCAACACCATTTTGATTCTACCTCATGCTAGATGCATTCAATCGGGCTCCTGAGGCTCCATTGTTAGTCAGAAATGTCCAAGATTCCTGATTTTTTCCTCTGAGTTAATTTATTTAGACCCACCTATACTGTGGTCACATAAACATTCTAATATTAAATTGAGGTTGATTAGATGTTCAGCTTGCACCTTTACTTTTGGATTAGCTGCAACAAGATAGCAAAGTTTATAAATGCTGCATAAAGTTGCAATGTATTACAAATATACTTTCTTACACTAACTATTGAATTCAGTGAAATTTACTTTGAAATAAATATACTTAGTGCCCTAGATTTGGGATACTAACAACAAAAAGTAAATATGTATACAAAGGAGGCTGCAGTTCTGCATTTAGAAGTATGTCTCTGTGAATTAAGATGACATTTACTTCTGAGGAAACCTGGCCAGGATTATCTTAGTTGTTTCCTAACTACCAATCTGTTTCAGATCTGTGGAGGCAAATGCAGAATTCCTTCTTTCCTCTCTTTAGTTATTTTAATTGAGGATATTGTTCCCTCCAATAACAGCCTATTTAAGACCCAATCATCTATGATTAATCTCTCTATTTTTGAAATCTCAAAATACATTAAATTCTTTCAGACCCAGGACCTAAGTTCATTTGAAACCGTAGTGGGATTTAATATTATTCCGCTAGAACGGAACTTGTCACTTTCTGTAAAGCCCTATACTTTTATCACCATCATCATCATCTCTGTTGTCAAGGGCACCGGGGCTACTAGGATGACTGTCAAACGGTGGAAAGCGAGGCTATCGTGTAGACGGAGCCATCTGACGTGAGCTTGAAACGGTGGTCCCCGTCCTACACTGCCCGCCACTCACCATTCAGGTACTTTCGTGTCTCTTATATGGGACGGTCCGATCGGGAAGGCTACAACTCTCCAGAGGAGTATTCAAATTTCATGGCTGCCATTCGACACGCATCACTTGGTCTATTTGTTCGTGTTGCTGCTGAAACACCTTTGAGTAAAACGGGGCAGAAAAGAACTGATTGAGGACAAGGGGAGATGGGCTCCGTAAGCATTTTCCTTCCTACTTCTACGCAACCCTCCCTCCACATCCTCCTTTTCGGTCCCGCTTAGTAACTGAGCCTGCCAACCAATCCTCAAACTGTCAGCCGGCTTCGCGACCTTGCCATTGGCTGCTTCTGTTGGAGACCTTTTAGCGAATCCCCGAGCTCGTTGCTTCTTCCCAGACAAAAGACAAGCAAGGGGGCTCTGGCAAACGGGGCTAACTAATACGCGCTTTCTCCCTCCCCCTTCCGACGTTCACTTTCCACAGCCGCCACCCCGCCGACCTGGCGTCCATCCTGGAAGCGAGCCAGGAACGGAATATGCAACTTTGCTTTTTCTTGAAATAAGGAGAGCAGAGAGGAAAAGTGAAAATGCACACATATATTCAACCCCCCCCCCAAAAAAACACACCTCTTTCCTACCCTTCCCTACCAAATAATGCTGTTGCTCCATCCACTCCATACAAAATAGATCAAGCCAGCCCTCTTCTGTCACAAAGAACTTGAAAGTTTTAACAATGTATCTAAAGCTATTCGAATATCTGCTTAAATAACTAATCTCCACCTGGAGCATAATAAGACATATGGACTTTAAAATACCTAAACTCTTTGCTTACTAATCCTACACTCCTAAATCTTCAAGGATAGCAACAAGCTGGTCCTGGAATTGAATTTTCTGACAACTTTGTAATTATTAAACTAAAGCGGGTTCTCATTAAGAGACTGGCATAACCTTAGTGAAGTGAGGATATTAGCTAGATGATATGTTAAATCTCAATTACTAATTAGAAATCTAATTAGAATGACTGCAGGTGTCATTGAGTTTATTCCAGTTGTAAATAATGGCATGATGGGCCAACACTTCCATCATATATATTCTGTATGAACATGAAGCAAAATAAATATACATGTACCAGATGTGACTGGGCAGAGAATTCTTCCATATGATAACCTTATTACCACAAATAATCCTGCAAGGCTTGGCTATGGATCACAAATATTACAGTGAATAACCATGTCAATAATTCATAATGTGCTGCAAGAGAATTGTGTTTTTGAGTGATGAGAATATTCTGATTCTACATATGCAGAATACATCACAAACATAGTGGATGAAACCAAGTGTTGTTTGTACACTATTCTTCAGTACTGTATATCCATTCTTCCAAATATTAAAGGTTGGGCAATGTCTTATGATCAAATATGAACATGATTAGATTTTGAATTTTAAGGGACACTGCACTGAAATTTAACAAACCTCACTAATTGAATGAGATGCCAATCCTACATCTTCAGAGTAAGCCAACTGGTGAGAATAAGATTTATTTTAAATAAGAATACCTTTCTCAGCATAGTTCCAAAATTTCTGTAAGTCTGTCAGCTATGCATTAACTTTAATCATAATTCTGAAATACACTGAGATACTGATGGGGGTCCATGTGTTTGTAAGCATGTCTTAGAAAAGTATAAAATAATTAAATACTGACAATATTTTCACTTGACCAACACTTGCTGTACACAAGACATACATTTGAACTTGCAGTTTGTTAGAGGTAAAAGAAATGCCTTTTCAACTTCAACCACTACCATCACTGGTCATGAAAACCCAATTTATAGTGTACCCTTTCCTTTGAAAAGCCAGCTTTCCTCTATTTATGCATGGAGGTTTACTGTATACCTGTGTGAATTGTTACACAAGACTAGAATATAATACACACTCCTAGCTTCAGTTTTGATAGTCATTCTTAAACTTAGTACTTAAAAATATTAAAGTGCTTAGTTATTAGCTTGATACCCAGTGGACACTTTTCACATTCTATACCACCATATGTGCATCATTCAAAGTTATTCATAAAGTACACATGTCTAGAGGTTCCATATTTTACATCAGTCATTCAAATGGTGGACTGTTGAGAGTGACCTATCATATAGTATCGATAATATACACATAATTCCATAGTGAAATATTAAACACATTCCAAGTTCTCCCCTGCTCTTTGTGTATATTAAAGAGTTATAGAGTCACTGGTGCAACAGAACATCACCATCTGCAAACAGTCCCAGTAGCAGGCACACATAACCCCACATATTGTCTATATATCAACCCAAAGTGCAGGAAATAGGTGGTGAAAGATAACCTACCATTTACTTTGCTACGCGGTATCAAATCATGACAGGAATCAAGTGGACACTTGGGGGGGGGGGCGTTGCATCTTTTGTGTGCCGTCTAAGAAAATGGGGGTGAGGAGAGAAGTGGGAAGAAGGGTCTCCTATCTCTGAATATTCTGGCGGCTTTATCGATGAGCGGGGGGGGGGGGGGTATTACATTCACAGGGCGCAGACGGGTGACGGAGGGGCATCTGTCGCCAGCCGCTCCAGCTGGAGGCATCCCTTCCTCGCATCACTGCCACTTGCACTATATACATATAATAATGAAATTAGAGGTAAAACTGGAAGCCGACTGTCCCCGCTTTCCAGCAGCTTTTGTTTCCCTAGCACGGCCAAGGTACTTCGCCAGAAGCACCACACAAAAAGAAAAAAGGTGGGGAGTGGGGAGGAAGCCCTTCGGCTCAATCTCCAGCCCGGGCACGAGTGAGTTAAAACCTAGGGGGGCGTGGCCTCGCTCTCGCTTGGCCCTCTCCTTGTCCCACCTCGGAGGCGGGGCTTATCCCCGGCATAGAGGCGGTTAGCGACGGTTGGGGCCTCGGTGCCTCTTTAAAATGAAACTGGCCGGGGTTGGGACTAGCCGAGCACCAAAGCGCGCGCGGGAGCTGAGGCTGGGCTTGCGTGGAGCAAGGAGGCGGTCGGGAGCCGCTCCTTGCAGCAGTGAGCGCCGCCGAGCGCTGAGGGCTTCGAGGGGGGACGGAAACGTCGCTGAAACGGCGGCGGTGGCGGCGAGCTTTGCCCCTGAAGGGGTAGAGAAGCGAGGCGCGCCTGCCCGTTCGTGGCTTTAGGGAGCCTCGGGAGGGTTTTGTCACTAAATCAGCGTAGACCTGTCTTAAAACTTTGCTTTTTTCCCCCTTTTTTTTAAGAACAACCCCCCCCCCCATCTTCTAACTGCTCCGTTTTCCCGAATTTCGATATCTCCCATCTTAAACCTCTCTCTCTCTCTCTCTCTCTTTTTGCCTGCCCCCCATCTTTTATTTTGGATTTGCGGGGTTGGGGGAAGCTGAAATAAGCGTTCCCTCGCAGCAAAGGGGGAATTGGAAGAGCATTTCTTCTGCTTCCTGAGAGGGGAGTGGTTTTTCCTGAAGGGGAAGCCATCGAGCTATTTCTTAAGAAAGTTTCTCCTCTATCCCCTCCCGGTTTTTCTTTCTTTCTTTTGTTTTTTTTTTTCTCCCTTCGGGAGGCTAGGCTTTTTTTTTAACTTCGTGCTGTGCCAGACTTTTGTGTGTTTAAAAAAAAAAAGAAAGAAAAAAGTAAAAGAGCCCTGGCAAGAGAGCCTCCCGAGCAATCGTCGCCCACCTGCCTGTTTGTCACCATGTACAATACAGTGTGGGATATGGATCGCGACGATACGGACTGGAGGGAGGTGATGATGCCGTATTCCACGGAGCTGATATTTTATATCGAAATGGACCCTCCAGGTAAAGCAGTTTTTTGGTTTGCGTTCAGGTTTATAGAGGAGCCGTGCTTTTTTTTTTTCCCCTTCTTTCCTTTCAGTGTCAGCCATCTGCAGAAGTTCATTGTTCTCTTCCCCCCAATGGTGCAGGCTTTAGCTTTCTTTTCTGAAGAGCGGGGGGGAACCTATGCTTGAATGGAAAGCCTGCAAACTTTTGCTCTTATTCTGTTGTAGTCACCATTTTCAAAGGACTATATTTTGCAAAGATGGAAAACACTCTAAATTCCAAAATGTAGGGCATTTGGTTTTCCTGTCTTTCAAAGTTCTATTTAGTGGATTTATTACCTACATTACATTGTTATCTAACCTGCAACCTTTTATTTTTATTTTTTAAAGGGCTGATGTGCTAGCTCACTAAATATTTAGTTGTAAACATTTAAGATTTAATATTGTTCTTTTCTAACACTTTCTGTTTTTAGTTTTCAATTCTATACGGGATGTTCTAGGCAAAAAAAAAAAAATCTGGTATCTAATCTTGTGCTTGTTTATTTGAAAATCTGTCCCACTAAGTTCAGTGGGCTTTTAAGACCAAGTAAGCATGCCTACCATCACAGTGTCAGTATCTTACAATGGTTAAAGGCATTATAACATTTAATGTTGAGTATTTCCATTGTTTGAGAAGTATTATTCTTTGCTCTCACATAGCTCTTCTTTTGTGCCTAGGAAGGAATAATATACAAAAGGAGCCAGAGGTTGGTTGACTCTCTGGTGATGTGTTTAGAATCATGATTGTGAGAGTTTCACAGTTCTTGAAGCTTCTACTTTGATGAAATCCTCAATATGAAAAATGTATCTGTATACATTTTCTTAAATTTCATCATTTTTGTTTAGGAAAATACAATATTGATTTTTTTTTAAATAGAGAAAACATTCTTGCTATTACTTGCTATTGCTTGCCATTACTTGGTATTGCATGGAGGGTGCAGATTGGGGGGTGGTCTTTATATTGTAAAGCAAAAGAAATACCAGAAGCAGATGTAATAGCATTATAGTTTGACTTTAACCATGGTGATGATGCTTGTTTCTCCTTCATTCATTTCTCTGGAGAAAAACATTCAGTGGGTTACCAAAGAAAACTTAATTGGCTGAATGCTTGTTAATAGAATTTTCAGGTATCCAAAGTTTATAAAACTGGTGCTTCTATATTTCACTGAGGTTTAAGCCTCTGATTCTTATAATAAATTTTCTGAGGGGTTTTTCTTTTTTTCAGAATAATCTTCTCGACACTGAAAAACTATCACTGGTTCTTTCATTAATATAGTATTATAGTCTCAGTGTTTGAATTAAGAAGAATTTTCTTAAAAGTCATCATATGTAAGAAGTCTGCTGATCACTAAATCGAACGTGCATAGATTTTCGCTGTTTTTTTTTACATGCCATGAACTTTACAGGCTATTATCTTTGTTTTATTAATATTTGTAATTTGATAGCTGTGGTACAATATAGCAACAAAATTAAGTACTATAGAGGTTTAGGGTGTCAGATTGTCAAAACTCTAAAAAAGTTTATTTTAAAACCTTATTTTTAATATATATTTCCATTTCAGTTAAATCTCACTTTTTAAACAAGAACACATCACAACGCATAACTGATATCTGCAAATGCATCTAAATAATCCAACAAAGCTAAAATTCATTGTAAAGCTAGACTTTATAGTCTTTCTGGGATACAAGCTTTTATAACCTAGAGAGGAAAAAAAGTTGTATTTCTTTTAAATAAAATGCAAATGAATTTCTTTTAAATAAAATGCAAAAGAAGCAAATTCTGCATGGTATAATTTTGCAGTGTGCACTTCAACTTTAAGATGTCTTAAGGGATAATACAAGTTTAGATAGCAGAATGTAACAGCTGGTAATGGAGAGTGGCATTAAAGTACTAGTTATAAGTTTATATTTTTAGCTGTGAGCAGGTAATACTCCTTCTAAGAATAGAGCAAGCAAACAATTAGAATCCTCCTTATTTCCACTCAAAATTTGATGCTTCATCAACCATTTATCTTGTTTCTTTAAATCTATGAGGACAAGTAACTTATTCCATAGGTTTTAAAGAAATTGTATTCTCTGTGGGGTGCATTTGTATGCAGCAATCCTATGGATGTGTGAAACAACATGGTTCTTCAAGATACTTGTTATGCTAGGTAACTAGATAGATTGTTGCAGTTCTGATAGGCAGCATGTATCTATAGGTGTATTCTTAACACCCCTCAACTCCTTATGCTCTCTGAATTTTTTAGATTGTTTTAATTAAAAATGGGAAGCTGGCACACTGTAATGTGAAGCTCCAGCCTGTGGCATCATATTTGTTTAGAATAATTTCTCTGAGCTGAGTAGGTATTCAGAGGACTAATAAAAATGATAGATAGTGCAGCTCAGTGTTTGTTTGGAAGTTTGCTCACCTGTTCAGAAAAAAAGACAAAGATAGGTTGGAGGGATAGAGAACATTCTAGGGGATAGAGGAATAATGTGGAGAGCAACTTCATTTCTTTCTGTTTTGGTAAAATATGTTGTGTGGCTGATTATGAGCACTGTTAAAGCTAGCTATTTAATGAATAGGCAAACTCCCCATCCATAGTAATCATTTTGTGAATATGTCTATAATATGCTCTCAGAAATTTAATTTTTTTTTCCAAAAAGTTCATTATGATCCAGTTATTTGGAGTTAAGCATTTGTCTGTTGAATGCTTCATTTAAGTTTTAATTTAATAATACTAATATTGGTGAATGTATAGCTGTATTATTTGAGATGCTTTGGTGGGAGGGGAGCGTTTGTCAAGGTGTTTCATTATAAGGTATATATCAGACCCTAGAATCATGTACTCTGTTTTACTGATTTGTTTAGAAAAAAGTTTTGGATTTGTAACAATAGTTTTACTAAAGCTTAAACTAGACTTCTTCAGAAAAACCCACTATATTTTGCATTTCAGAGGACTTTGTTGAGTGTTTACTAAATGCTTGAATAGTTAATACAAGCAAGTTCATGGAAATTGAGATGCAGATCCTAAAAGGGTTTTTTTTAGGTGGATAAGTATGATAAATAAAAACTAAATACACATAATAGAGAAAATAATATTGGAAGTAATCATAATGACTATTTGTGAGAATCGGATATTTGTCTGTAAATATTCCTTTAAACATACATCTTGAATCTTTTTTAAAATTAAAGACTTTTTAAAGTACAGTTTAAACCGATTAATGCAGCACATGAGTGGAGAATAAGGATACACTGAGTAATTCCACTCATGATGTCTTGGTTGATTAATTGTTCCTCTGTATGTATGATGCAATCATAAAAACCAGAAAAAGCCATATTAGGGGTAGACTACTTGAAATGGCCTCATATCTCTGCTTAATCATTGCCATCCACTTCAGATAATGCCAGACTAGGACTTTATTAGATTTAAATACTTATAGTTAAGACAACTTCATCTTTTTTAAAACAAAAACAAAAACAAATTTATTATAATGATCTTTATTGTTGGTTTCATCTACCACCCCGTATAAATTGTTTGTAAATGCAAGGCTAAAAAGATGTAGGCCCAATAGTAGTTATTTCCAGGATTTTTCTAATAGGTGAAAACTGTTTTGTATTTTAATTGAAGATTTTGAGGATGGACAAGAAATCCAGTGGTCCTGATAGAGAAGCTCCACTCATTTCAGTGGACTAAAAAAATGCATCACTTCAGAACAGCAGTCTGCATTGCTGATGACATAATTTACTCATTTACGAAAGCGGTGTGCCATTTCAAGTACTGATGCTCAACAGTTTCCTACAGTACAATGAAATAAATACAGTAGAATACAAATTAATAATTATTGAATGAGAAGATCAATTATCAATATCAAAAAAGTAACAAAACCTGTTATAAAAACTTACCTATAACTTAAACGTAGCATAAAGCTTATTCCATAAAAATTACATGAAACAACAGTATTTTAATTCCCTGAATTTTAACAGGAAGGGAGCCATTAAAATTCCAAAGGTGGAAGGCAAAAATGTTCCAGAGGTTGAAGGCCATCTCAAAGGAGCAGCGTTTTGGGAATCTATCCCACCTCTCTCCCAAATGGCAGGAAATTATAATTTCAAATCTGCTTGTTGAAATCAAATGAGTAGATTTTACATGGTGTCGAAAAAGCCCATATAAGCCACTAGACAATCCATGGCCATTTTGATTATCTTTTCAGAGATATTTACTTACTTAAATCGAGAAACAGAATGACCAAGGGAAAAAAAAGCAATGGGAATGGGAGCCACTTTTGACTTCTTACTAGCTTGTCTGCAGCTGACTACTCTACAGCAGCGGATGGTGGGACAGTTTTTCCCAGTCTCCAGAGAGCTAGTGTGAGTCTGGCTTACATGATCTCCAGAGGCAAAAGGAGGAGCCAATCCACCTGGCCTCCAGAGAATTAGGGAGGGACTGATTTACTGAATCTCTGGGTGGTGGCAGCACAGCAGCACTGAAGCAATTTCAGCTTTGTCCGATTTCAATTCTGCGGAAGTCATGGTCCCAGATTTCAGATGCATTCTGTATGTTGGCCCAATGGCTTCTCTTCTACCATGCTCCTGACTGAAGCTCCTCACTTAATAAGGAACAGAATAGTGCCTCTGATCCCAGCCATTGGTATTGAAGGCTGCTCAGAAATCCAGGCGGATCAAAGGGATTAGGCTTTTTCTTTCCAGATCTAATAATAAATCATACATGGGAGCAATGGGTGCAATTTCCATCCCATGTCCAGGTGTGACTGAAAGGGACTCTGCATTCTCTATGACCTCTTCTGAGGCCAACACTTCCCTTAAAAGAGAAGATAGGGTGTTAGGTTAGGGTAGCTGCTGTTAGGGCAGCTTCTTGAGGAAATGATTCAGTCTCCAAGTGATGATGATTGCTTTTAGGTCAGATGTATTCAATCCTTATTTTTAATGAGCATTACTTTAGGCATATCACATTTTATCTTCTGGGAGTCTTCAATA